ATGACGGCTTAGTCATTCTCTTTTATCTCTCGGAATTTTACACGTGTTAGGACCATTGAAAATTATCTATTGAATGTTCTCTCAAACCTCGATATTATTTTATCTTCTCGTTGGAGAAGGAAATATCTCGGAAGAAAATACAAGGTTAACTTTTTCATCTAAAAAGACGAAAAATTCTCATAAAACTCTTTAAAAAAGTATAGTTCTTGATCTTTTATATATATATATATAATATATATACTCTGAAATAAATGTGGTTTCGTATAATATGAGATAAGTTTATATAATGGAACAATGAAAAGAATGTAAAAAAAAAATGTAAAAATAATAATAATAAAGTAAGAAAGAACGATACAATGTTGTTCAAACTATGATAATTTATTCTGAATATCTTTAATTATCGCTACTGTCAGATCTCGAAGGATAGAAAAACTAAAGGATTTAAAATTTATTTAATAATTAATATTGATAAATATACATTGATAAATATTAAATAAACTACCATTAAAATAATGTTAATAACTTTTATGGATCATATTCGTTAATGATAATTAATAAAAAAGCAAACAGAGATATTTGTGTGTGTGTGTGTGTGTGTTCATACATATGGGTGTGTGTGTATAATGTTTATAATTATTTATCATATAAATAAAAGATTATAATAAAGAATTCATTTTTCGTACTTAATAATAAATCTCTTGATATATTTTCATATTACATGAAATACAAATTGAATAAATTTCTTATGTTGTTAAAAATATTGAAATTTTGCATTACGAAATATCATAATAAACGCGTTTTACCGTTGCTTACGTTACAAATCTTCATAAAATTTAGGATTAATGTTTAACTCTTGGTTATTTCAATTTGGAAAATATAATTTTTAACGCAAAAGATGGAAGGAAGTGATGAAAATATGATTCTTGAGATTTCATTACTCATCCATCTCCACATGGACATTTTACATCGTTGACTCTCACAAACAAGATATTCAATTTCCAAATCTTTTAATGTTTTACTTATAAGTAAAGACAAATATATATATATATAGCAATTTATATGAACATGTAATATAATATATTCTTACGTCTTTTTTTTTTTAATAAAAATAATTTTATACATAAAACGCAGTAGTGTATATAAAAAATTAATAAACTAAAAATATAGTATGGTATATTTTTATCCATTTCCTTTCTTCGTAAATAAAAAATAAAAATGATATAATGACATTTTATATATATTATTACAATAGTATATATAATATAATAATGGTAAATATAAATGATAATATATATATATAACAAAGTAAAAGTACATAAAAATATAATATAGAATATCACACCGGAGATTATGTAATACCTTCTTTTCTGGTCCTTCCATTATATTCGTCCAAAAAACATGAAAGAAAAAAGATATTTTTAAAATTTGGACCATCAGACAAACGATGCTATCCAGGCTATTGAACAAAATGAGGATGCGTATGGACTTTACTTGAAGGTCAACATAGGACCAACTCTATATATCTTTCTCTTTTATTCTCCCTTTTTTCTTTTTTCTCTTTTTCGCTTTTACTTGAAATCTTTGCTGACATCATTTTTTTGTATACATATGTATATGTATGTATATATACCTATATATATATATATATATATATATATATATATATATATATTTATTTATTTATTTACTTATTTATTTCCCATTTCAATAAACACATTCCAAATAAAATCGTACATTGTTGTGTCATTTTTTATACTCATTTTTATTAAAAAGAAAATAAATATATAAATAATATTAACATATTGTTAATAATTTTAATAGATCTTGTGATTAGAGGATGTACATATTTGTTGGAAAAAAAAAGACAAAACAAAATTATGTTGACTGAATATAAACAAGTTTTTCTTGATTTAAATATTCATAGGAAATTATGCGGTTTGAGATGATGATGGTAATAATAAATAAGAGGAAAAGGTGGTAAAGAAAATTAAATATTAGTGAAAGGGACAGAAACATTCTGTCGGATTGTCAGTTTGGGAGTAATCGAGTTAGGTAGCAAGGCTGTTAGCAAAGTCTGACATCAGATTTGACCCTGTTCCACGCCATTCTTCGTTTTCCCTTGATGTTGATAGAAAATTCATAGAAATGGAGAATTATTGATGAATTTACTATGATGTTTCGTGACGCAGTAATGAGAAGGAAAAAAAAGGAAAAACAAAATATAGCCACTCGTTTGAAAATCGAAATATGCCGAAAATTATAATGAAATGATAATAAAATTTATAAATATTAACTGAAGAAAAGTGAAAAACATAAAAAAAATTCTTCGAGATAATTATTTTGAACTTAATTATAAATAAAAAATGTAGTAAACTAATTTATTTGATAGTTATGTTATCATAGATTATTGAACTATCGTCTTAACCGATATAAAATTGTTAACAATATAAAATTAATAATTACATGTTATACTTAATTGAAAATAACATCAACAACTCTAATTAGTTTTATAGTTAGAACAAAATTGTGCATTTGTAATTTTTGTCTAAGAACACTTTCCGATATCTCGAATAGTTTCGGCGATATTCATACCAATTAATTACGATGAGATATACACTTTCTCTCTCTTTCTCTCTCTTTCTCTCCTCCTTTTTATAATAAATGTATATATGAACGTAATATATATATATATATATATATATATATATATATATATATATATATATATATATATATTATATAATGTTCATTACACAATCAACAGATAAGCATGTATGCATTCCTGTATGTATATTAAACCTAACCTAACCGAACTATTTAGATATTCATCGTGTTAATATTCATATGAATTAATTATAATGGTACACAATTTATACATATATCTGCTAATTGTAAGAAACATTATAAGTAATTAAGTGATATTATATATATATAAATCAAATCTAATCTAATCGAATTTTTAAAAATATTATTTAATATTTATACAAATTAAATATATGCAAAAAAACACCCTGTATATATTTTTTTGTTTATAATGTTCATTATAAGCAATAAATATTTATACATTCACCATATATAAATCAAATCTAACCTTTTAAATCTTAATCTAACTTCTCTTTTAAGTATTCTTATTGTTTGATATTAAACTAATATAAACAAACAAAACGTTATAATAGATTTATATTGACGAATTTATATATAACGATGTAATTTGTTTGTTGAAATATTGTAAATCGCTTTCAATGAAAAGAAATCTCTTGAAAAAATCCGATTAGCTTATCATTTCCGGTCCGGACGATCGGTTCCTTCTCGTTAGTATTATCCTTGTAAAGTAGCGAACGTGTAACCGGTCGTTCCTATATAATAATCGAGGACAGATTTTAGCCTTCCTTCTATTTCTATATAAACGCGCAATCGCATTACGTTTACCAGCTCGATGGAGGGGCAATATGATTCGCGGCGCAGCTGGTTTCGCGTTCCTTCCTTCGCTTCCCGGTTCGATCAATAGCCTAGGTCCCTAGGACATGGTAAAGGTGGTTGTCCAGACCAGTGGCGGATTCAGAATTTAATACTCAAAGACGATTGATATAGTTATGAAAATAAATATGGCTCAGTCAATCGATCGATTAAATTTCATCACTTGTTCTTCCATCTCATTTCGTATTTTAAATATCAACGTTTTAACCTTGAATCTTACTTTTTATTTGCTTCTCTTATTAATTTTCTTATTCTTTCTTATTGATGTCGGAGTTTAATCTAAATTAAATATTCATTTTTATTTATTTTATATAATGAAGACAAACTTTTAATCAAAGTATGCTTAGTATTAATATTGTCAAGGAAAAAAGGAAAACAAAAGAAAAATGAATCACTAAAAAAGAAAAAATATTTAATTCTCAATTAATTGTTAGAAAAAGTATAACAATGTATTAGAACACATTATATCAAGATCAGAATTAAATTGGCAAGAATATTATTCTGAAAAAGAAATTTGAAAATTAATAACAGAAAGAAACATGCAAAAATTTGAAAGGGCACAATAAAACCACATTAAATGAAAGGAAATAAATTGTAGGAAACATGAAGTAAAATGAAACGCAATTAAAATTTGGCGCGCAGCCATAGCTAGTTACACTACTGTCAGAGCGTGAAGATTCGTGATAGGTCGAGAAGATCGTGGGCGTCTGTGACGCCGACAGTTCGGTACGATAGTGGGGGTAAACAGTGAGAACCACGGCAGGTCCGTTAGTTGGTCGCCGCGCGTCGGCGATGTAACATTTTGTTATATGTTATGTCTTAATTATTCTCATTACCTCGATCGATTTATTACCTCGATCGATCTATTTCGATGGATTCGTCGCACATATTGACCTTCAACATCATTAAAAATTATTAAAGCCTCATCTATTTTCGAATGAATATCTAAAGAACTTGAAGTTAAAAAATCGAACAAAAAGGGAAAGTGTCAAAGGCGAGTCTGCTGTTCTGTCGACAGATATGAGAACGGTGTATATGTATGTTATGTGTGTTACTACTGTGTCTATTGCGTGTTTGTCGGCGGAACGAGTTCATTTTTTCGTCCAAAGACTTCCCGTTTCAGTGACGTTTTCAAAGAAGCTTTGAAAAAGAGAAAGAAGACAATTTTCATGAATAAATCTCGAGATTAAAAAAAAAAAAGAAAGAAAAGGATAAAATGTTGTTGATAATTAAAATTGATAATCATTTAATATCCGATTGATTTTCAGTGATATAAGAGTATATGCAAATATAATATAATAATATATTTCGAGAAATTTTTTGTATCGTTAAAAATTCGAATCCGCACTGCTGTATCGACAAAGAAGAAAGGTGTGGCGCGAAACCTGTACATTCTTACAACAAAAGAGATTATCTCTCTCTCTCTCTCTCTCTCTCTCTCTCTCTCTCTCTTTCTCTCTCTCTCTCTCTCTCTCTCTCTCTCTTCTCTCTCTCTCTCTCTCTCTCTCTCTCTCTCTTTCTCTCTCTCTCTCTCTCTCTCTCTCTCTCTTTCTTTCTCTGTTATCTATCTCTATCTCTCTCTTTCTTCATCTTTGGACTTTGTCATCTTGTTTTTTATATTCTTCAGTTTACTTTTGTTTTTTATATATTGCTGAGGACATACAAGATACTTATGTAAGTAAATATACATACATATTACGTTTATAATGTTATTACTCTCACATAATGTCAATTCATGTTTTTTTGTAATCACAAATAGCATCACTAGTATTTTAAGAGAAAACTAATCATAAAGGTACTTCTATATTGACAATAACAATCATAAAAATTTTTACGTTTTCGTATTTAATCGACAATTTTTTTCTTATTGAATTGATGATTATTCAACGAAACGTATAAATTTTTCTATAAATTATACGTATATATGTATCGTAATAATTCTGTTTAACATTAATTATAATTTGATCGATAGCAAAAGATTGAAAAAATGGGAAATATTTTCTATTTCGATCGTTAGAACTTTCAATAATTTATCGAAAAGATTAGAATAATCTGATTGATTATTTAGATTATAACATCTTGCCGCCATATTTTTCATAGTTTAGTGATCACAAGGATGATCCATAGTAATTTATAGGAAATATCTTTTTTTTTATAGAACATCTATTTTTTTAAAAAATGAATATGTATTCTTACGAAAATAATGACGTAACGAACGATATATTATTATCACATAGTAAATATTGGAATTAAATAGCAAAAGTCAGTAATAGTGGAATTTTATTAATAAATCTGCATTAAAAAAGAAAAAAAAAAAAAAAAGAAGCATCCAGGAAAGGAAATTAAAATAAATAAGAAATTAAATTCCACATTTTAATAATGAAATGGAATGATTCTTTTTTATAAAAAAAAGTTTTTATAAAAAAGCGAGTTAGAAATTATCAATGAATATTTTTTTATTTCTAAAGGAACGTTAGAACAACGTAAACACACACCATCTAGAAGAATAACGAGAGCTCCCTCATACAGAGAATATTTTTTTTCGAAGATGTACGGGTGATAAAAGATCTCTCCTTCGTCAAAATGTTGATTAAGGAATATCGAATTCCTCTGCCACTTACGGTAGAGGAATATCAAATTGCTCAACTTTACATGATAGCGGTAAATATTTTTACTTGAATCTCATTTAATTTCTCAGATGAGGTTAGTTACGCAATTTTCGTAACATTTTATAAATCAATAATTGAATTCTCTATTACACCCGACCAATTTCCAAAATAATAAAAAAAAAAAAAGAAAAAAGAAAAAGAAAATAAAAACTAAATAAATAAAAAATAAAAACGAATGAAGTAATTTGAAATTTTGAAAACTTTGTTCTTACCTTTAGAGGTTAATTTTAATGGTTCAAGCAAATTACAAAAATATGAAAAAGAAAAAATCCTTTTTTCTTTCTTTTGTTTTCATTTTTTTCTTAATATTTATTTAGGAAATCGTAATTTTTTTCTCGTCTTCGAATTCGTTTACGACATTCAATAACAAAAAAAAAAAAAAAAAAAACAAAGAAAAAAGAAAATGACAAAGAAAATTACAAAGCAATTTTTTTTTGTATTATAGAAAAAATCACGTGAAGAAAGCAGAGGTACCGGGAGTGGCGTGGAAATAATAGTTAACGAACCGTATACCAATGGTCCCGGTGGAAATGGCCAATACACGCATAAAATTTATCACGTTGGTAGCCACTTGCCAGGATGGTTCAAAAGTTTATTACCTAAATCAGCATTAATAGCAAAAGAGGAGGCATGGAACGCATATCCGTATACAAAAACGCGATACACAAGTCCATTCGTCGAGAAATTTTCCATAGAAATAGAAACTTATTATTTTCCTGACAATGGCTATCAAGAAAATGTTTTCAAACTAAACGGTGCCGATTTAAGAAACAGAGTCGTAGGTACGTTTAAAATTTTCAGGAAAAAAAAGACAACGAATGATTATAAGTAATCAAAATACCAAAAATATTTTCTATTAAATATTATTACGACGTAAAATAATACATTTATTTTAAACTATATATCGTAATATCGTATTATATATTATATATTATATGTATACTATATATTATAATATAATGTTTATTATTCGTAAGTATTCGTATAGTATAATGTAATATAATAATATTATAAAATAATACAATAAATACTATAATAGAATAGACTTTCTATATTCAAATATAGTGTAGAATTATATATAATTATACTATAATCATATAATATATTATATATATATATATATATATATATATATATATATGTATATATATATATATATATATGTACATGTATATGTATGTATGTATATATGTATATGTATATGTATATGTATATGTATATGTGTATGTATATGTATATGTATATGTATATGTATATGTATATGTATATACAATGTGTTCTAGAATAACTAAAAAATATAAATTGCAATAATGCAAATTCAACATATTTAAACGATAAAAAATGTTCATATAAACATATGTTCCATTCGATTTTGTTTTCGAATTATAGCGAATTTGATTCTCATCAAATTCTATCTGCTTATTTTCATAAGAAATGTTCAAAATGACCTCCTTGCATCTGAATACAAACCTGCAGTTGTTTTATTAATGACTGTCTTACATATTTGATAAATGATTGTCCATACCATACGTCCAGATGTTGTTTGAATTTGCTTGAAACTTTGTTCAATTCTTTCACGAAGAGTTTTAACTCCGTTAATGGGCGTTCTTTGTACAATGAATTTCAAATAACATAAAAAGTAAATATCAAAAATAAAACCTTTATATGAACTTCTTTTTTTTTTGTTTTGATATACTAAAACAAACCCTAAAATATTTCCTATATATTCTAGGATAGTATATATAATATATAAAAATATGTAAATATGTAATATATAAAAAATATGTGATTATAAAGGGTAAATGTATAATTAGAAATTTTTTATTAGAAAGTATTAGAAAATATTAGAAAATTGTTAAATTTAGACATTTCTTTTTATAAAATTAAACTAACATACTGATCATATTAACTGTTACAGATTTGATCGATATCGTAAAAGATCAAATCGATTATGTCAAGGAAGAAGATCCTAAATTGTATATTTCTGAAAAAACGGGTAGAGGTCCACTAACGGACACTTGGTTGGAAGATTATTGGAGTGAAATTAAAGTAAAAATACATTTTACTATCCTTTTATGAAATAAAATAAAATAAAAAAAAAAAAAAAAAATAAAATAAAATAAAAATAAAGAAAAATAATAATACAACGATACTACCGGAGTATTTCTCATTCTTTAGGGTAAACAACAGCCAACGCCATCAGGGAAATCGTTAATGTGCGCTTACAAATTATGCCGAGTAGAATTCCGCTGTTGGGGTGTGCAAACAAAGTTAGAAAAGTTCATCCACGATATGGGTTAGTACTTTGTAATACATGGCAATTTATAAAAGTTACTTTCATGAATTTTTTATTCATGAATTCATTCATCTAAATAAGCTAATTATTTATTTTGAAAAAAGAAAAGAAAAAGAAAATATCGATTAAAACGATTCGTAGCATTGAGGAAAGTGATGGCACGAGCACACAGACAAGCTTGGGCCTGGCAAGATGAATGGTATGGTTTGACAATGGAAGATATCAGAGAAATTGAACGGCAAACTCAGTTAGCACTTCAACAAAAGATGGGTCTTGCTGATTCCGGTGAAGAAGTAACTCATGATGATGATCAGGACACGAATACAGGGAATACCGGAATGACACCTCAAGAATCGAACGTCGCTAGGACATTCGCAGCCACTTTGAGTAGTATCGAAAAAAATGAGGACCTTCAGAGTCCAATGAGTATTAGGAAACCTTCGGATATACCGATCATCAATACGGCTGTTAGTTCAGAAGGTGAAGCTAGTCCTGAGGATTCTCCAACGGAACCATCTAATGCTAGGTAATTTCTTACTTTATCGTCAGATATTTCATTTTAATGTATTATTAATGTTTTATCATATTAATATAATAAAATTAAAATATAGTTAATTATAATATTTATATTCATACACTGTCCTCATTTCATTATTGTTCTAAGCTGTTATTCTTCATATAAATAATACTTATTTATCCAGATAAAAATAATTTTCTTTTTATCGCCAATTGTATATATTTAGCCCGATCGACGAAAAGAATGAAAAGAAATCATGGAAGAAAAATACAGCAAGTCATTCATCTAGTTCAGCAAAAAATATGGATATACAAATCGCAAATTGGAGAATGGAGAGTATCATTAGAGAATCCGAAACCAGTAGCGAAGAGGAATTCTTTGATTGTCAGGGTAAGAGTTCCGTTTTCTTCCATTTCCTTTCTTTATTTATCAAAATAAATTAATCATAAAAAAATAAGCATGATCGTAGATCGAAACAGTTGATGTATCATTATAAAAAAAAAAAAAAAAAAAACAAAAAAGAAAGAAAAGAAGAAAAAAAAAGAACCAATTTTTCTAAGCTCTTTCTTAATATATTTAAAAAAAAAAAATTCATTTTGCATCGTTTTATTATCTAACCTGCATCTCGTAGATACTTTAATACCTTCTTCATTTTATAAATTCGCATATTCTGTAACACTTTGTGGACATATGAAACTCGGTCATTTGACTTGATAATAATAAAAATAAAAATAAAAGTAAAAATTAAAGAAATAGAAAAAATGAGTTTGGTCCACAAAATGTAAACAGGAATAACTCTGGTATTAGGAAAGAACGTTTGAAATGTCTAATTCTAAAAATCTATCGTTTCTCTCTCTCTCTCTCTCTCTCTCTCTCTCTCTCTCTCTCTCTCTCTCAGTCTCTCTCCCACTCTTTCTCTCTCTTTCTCTATCTCACTCTCTCTCCCATTCTTTCTTTCTCTCTTTTTCTCTCTCTCTCTCTTTCTCTCTCTCTCTTTCTCTCTTTCTTTCTCTATTTATCTATCTATCTATCTCTCTTTTTTTCATAGGTATTAACATCAGCTTAAAAAGACAATAATAGCATGTGTTGACTATTTCGAACAGTCTTTTTTATGTCTACCTTCTCTGTTTTTTCTTGCACTCCACACACACACCGCAGCTGGGTTCATTATACCTACTATACGTAAAGGTAGGACGCGTAGTTAACGATGAATTGTTCATCACCATTAGCAAAAAATACGAACAGCAGCTAGAACAAACAAGTGAAAGTATTTTTTTCAAAAGAAAATATAAAAAAAGAAATAATAATAATAAAGAACTGTGCACTCTGTATATATGCATTATTAATTTTTTAATCACTTTATTCATACACTTTATATATTATATCATTTTTAATAAATTGCTAGAATTGTCTAATTCTAGAATTCAGCATGAAGATTCCCGAGCATGATCTATACGCATGGCTACATAAAGTTTATTGGCTGTACGATGAAAATATTTGTAACTAACATCGGACGATGTAACAACCTGTTGCATGATGTATTCACGTTAGCACTTGGGCCATAGAAGTAATCGATATTTGGTTACATCATGTACACGAAGTATTTTATGAAGTTTAGAAAGCACTGAAAGAGTAATTTTATGGAATTTAATGATCATTTTTTTTTTAATTGTTTAATCGCTTCTATGTTACACACATAATAAATACACTATTATTATAATAATGATAATAATAATAATAATAATATGAATCAAATATGAAAAAAAATAAATAAAAAAAGAAAAGCAATAGTGCACAATCGACATTAATTATATATGATTATACTTTAGAGCACTTTGAAGATAACTCTTCATTAGCTAAATGGAGTTCTTTGGATCTTCTAGCAGAAGAGGATGATGGTACTTCTCCTGTGGCACCAACAAACAACGTGGAAGGTAATATTTTGCATTCTTAATTTTTATCAATCTAATTAAATGTTTTTAAACGTTATATTAATGATTATACCATAAAATCATTGTATTTCCATTAGGTCTATCAAAAAGTTATGTTTGATTTTTTATTAAAAAAAAAAATTTGTTTTATATTGAAAAATAATATCATATAATCATTTTTTTTTATCATCAGATATATTAATTTATGTAATTAATTTTCACAGAAGCAGATACGATATTTTCACCGTCGTTTCTACAGCCAATAGCAAGCGAACGTAGTAAAAGATTGCAAATTCACACGTCGACGAGCATTGACGTTTCTTGTCCAACGTCACCTCAACATTCTCCAACACATCAGTCGTGTAAAACTACAGTACTTTTGATCGTGATGCATGCCGGAAGCGTTCTAGGTAATTGTCATTTTATTTAATAATTTATTGTTACTTATTAAATGACAAACATAATTAATTCATTATAGATGCCAACGTCGATTTGACAGCTAAGAAATCGGATGTAACAACTTTCAGAGGTGCCTTCGAGTCTGTTATGAGACAACATTATCCCAGTATGGTCGGACATGTTTCTATAAAATTTGTTTCATGTCCGTCAATATGTACTGAAGGTCTAGGTGTTCTTTCAAGGTAAAAAGAATTAATTATAATTCACTTGCCGATTAGATTATCAATTAAATAAATTTTAATGTAAATCAACATATTAATCAGAATTTATACGAAAGAAAAAATAAATAATAGATTATTTTTTTAATATTGTAAAATAAAGAAAAAAATAAAAATTAATTAAATTTTATCGTTCAGTTTAAGTCCATACAGTTTCGATATGTCTCCATCATGCATGGATGCACCTCAAGTAACGAACGATACTATACCAATCGGTGCAATACCATTACTGGCAAGTGCAAGTTCGGATTACGAAGAAGCAGTCTCACGAGTAGTTACCAATGCAAATCAGATTTATCAAGAATTTATAAAGAGCGAGGAGGGTAAAGGTTTTAGTGGGCAAATTTGTTTCATCGGTGATTCCGTAGGTTCGATTTTGGCCTACGATGCTTTGTGTAGATCTACGCATTATCATTCGAGATATAACAGTGAAAATAATATATTGGACACGAGTAATCAAGGGACTGAAAATGATGGAATTTCTGAGGATGGTAAACATTTAAGTGCAACTTTACCTAGAAGAAGATCTTCTGGAACAAAGTAAGAAATAGGATTATATTTTGATAAAATTTTAGTAGGAAATGTATTATACTTTTTAGATAACTTTTCAAATTACATATACTATACATATATAGGTATATGTATCCTATATATGTATAGTATATAAGTATATACATATATATATATATATATATATATATATATATATAAATATATATAGAAATATATATCCATATAATGTAAAAAATTAATAAACAATACTATCTAACTATAATACTATTATACTATTATTATACGTATTATGTAATAGCTAATATTATTGTATGATAGTATTGTGTAGAGTATTGTAGTAAATGTATATTTTTATAATATTTTATATATAGAAATAATATTATTTTATATAATAGTATAATAAATACACTATTATAATATATATTTCTTTTATATATATATTTAAATATATATATATATATTAATATATTAATATGCATATATAGTCATCATGTTATTCTCAAGATGAAACCTCTATTATCAGTGACAGTTGCCAGCAATGTAAATTAGAGTTCGAGGTAGGAGAGTTCTTCATGTTTGGCAGTCCATTAGCACTCGTTATGGCATATAGAAAAATTTCATCTCACGGAGATAAGAATAGTAATATCCCAAAGCCAATGGTGAATCAAGTTTACAATCTCTTTCATCCAAGCGATCCAGTAGCTGCAAGAATCGAACCATTGATTTCCGCAAGATTTTCTTTACTACCACCTGTTAATGTTGCTCGATATCAAAAGTATCCACTTGGAAATGGGCAGCCTTATCATTTACGTAAGTGTTTTTTATTTTCTATGTTTTAAAAATAGAAAGGAAAAATTCATAAATATTCTTATCATTTTTCAGTGGAAACGATTCAAAGCAATACACAATTATTTGCGGATGGATTAAACATTCCTAACATATACATGACAACGCCACTTCAACATGCTCATTTGAGAAGATTGTCGGATATATCGATTCACAGTACTATGTCTGGTATCGTCGATAATTTTCCTTTACAAGTTGTCTCTGCACGTAAGTCTATATCCAATAAATAAATCAATTCTCTCTCTCTCTCTCTCTCTCTCTCTCTCTCTCTCTCTCTCTCTCTCTCTCTCTCTCTCTCTCTCTCTCTCTCTCTCTCTCTCTCTCTCTCTCTCTCTCTCTCTCTCTCTCTCTCTCTCTCTCTCAATACCTTCTGATATAATATTTTATCTTATATTCTATTCTATCTATCTTATATTATATTTGTCTACTTTATTCTATCTATTCTACAATATATATATTATTTATTTATTTATTATTATTATTATTATTATTATTATTATTATTATTATTATTATTATTATTATTATTATTATTATTATAGAAGATAGAACTATGTATTCCTTGTTTATTTTTATTTTCATTTTTTTGTGTTAAATTTAGTTTAATTATTTTAATAATTTTTTTTATGGCAACTTAATTTTTCGTCTTTATACTTTCCGTAAAGTAATGTATAATAAAAAAAAATAAAAATAAAAAAAAAAGAAGGAAGAAAGAAAAACCGACACAAAGATTGAATTTCCAGTGACGCAAAAATGGTGGGGAAATAAACGAATAGATTATGCTCTATATTGTCCAGAGGGTCTGGCAAATTTTCCTACCAATGCATTACCCCATCTCTTTCATGCTAGTTATTGGGAATCATCAGACGTAATAGCGTTTATATTAAGACAGCTGGGTCGGTTCGATTTACCTATACTCGGTAACGAAGAAAAAGAACTTTCATGTTTCCGTCCAGGTCAACCAAGAGAAAAATGGAATAAAAAACGCACTTCGGTCAAACTAAAGGTTCATATTATATTTATATATATATATATATATTTTATTATCGAATTTACTTCTCTTTGTTCGCAATGAAATTAATGTTATGTTATAAACTATTTAGAACGTTGCTGCTAATCATAGAGCCAATGATGTCATCGTCGGAGAAGGTGTACCTCAAGTATTAGTGGCCAGATTTATGTACAGTCCTATAGACGTGATAGCTTTAACAGGTAAACAATCAATGATTATTCGCAACGATCATCTTTTTATTATTATTATTATTATTATTATTATTATTATTATTATTATTATTATTATTATTATTATTATTATTATTATCATTAATATATATATATATATATATATGTTATTTAACATTATTATTTTTTCTTTTTTTCCATGCCCAGGGGAAAAAGTAGACATTCATATTATGAAAGATCCACCTGTTGGCGAATGGTCGTTTTTAAATACAGAAATTACAGATAAAAATGGTAGAATAACTTATAGAATACCTGATGACAAAGCTCTCGGTTATGGACTTTATCCTGTAAAAATGATAGTTAGGTAATTAATAGGCCAAAAATTTTCCCTCATTTATATTCATTGATATTAAATGATATTGAAAAGAAAAAATATTGTTATTTAGAGGAGATCACACTTCCGTCGACTTCTTTTTGGCTGTGGTACCTCCGAAAACAGAATGTGTGGTCTTCAGTATTGATGGATCGTTCACAGCAAGTATGTCAGTTACCGGGAAGGATCCAAAAGTTAGAGCTGGCGCTGTTGATGTTGTCAGGTAAACGTTTTTAAAATAATCTCATTCTTTCATTATATGAAATAATCCTTTGATCGATAATCACTTAGTTCATTATGTTACTCATAGGCACTGGCAAGAATTAGGATATTTAATTATATACATCACCGCTCGACCCGATATGCAACAGAAGAAAGTTGTATCCTGGCTATCTCAGCATAACTTCCCTCACGGTTTGGTGTCTTTCGCGGATGGGCTCTCTACGGATCCGCTAGGTCATAAAGCAGCATATTTAAATAATTTAGTCCAGGTAAGAAGACAATGACAATGGCAATGATAATGATAATTAGCCTATAAAAAATTAATATTTTCTTACTAATATTTTCTTACCATTTTGGATTTTATTCAGTCATATTCAAAATATTTTTCTACCATCAATTGATACAGCAATCAATTTATAAATTAATTAAATGTCATTAATTACAGGAACACGGTGTAATAATACATCAAGCATACGGTAGTAGCAAAGATATAAGTGTTTATACGTCAATAAATCTCAAGCCAAATCAAATATTCGTTATCGGTGGAGCATCGAAAAAACATCATGCTCTGGCGACAATACTTCACGATGGTTATGCCGCACACTTGAGCATGCTACAAGCACATGGTGGTTCGAGACCAGCCAAAGGCAATGCAAGGATGGTAATACCACGTGGACAATTTGGTTTGCCTGGTCAGAATGCATCTTTACGGCGAAGAAGGTATGTCCTTTGATATTTATCCTTCATCATTTCATTATTATTTAATTCGTGTTTATTACGTAAAACATGTGAAATATTCGATAGTCTTGCTAATTAATCTGATCTCGACCTTGAAACTAATCCGAAGAAAAATTTATATTGAAAATCTACAGAAAATGCAGTACATGTGGATGTAAAATATTGCATTTCTACATCTATCTTTCTCCCTCACTCATTCACTTTTTACAATATTCTCAACGTAATTATTTAATTAATAATTAAGAAAATTAATAATACGCTGAAAGCTACGAATCCGATAAGACGATAATATAACTCGATATGAACGATGATATATAACCATGTTCTTATCATTTATAATAACATTTTTTTTATTTCTTCTATGCTTTCTATAAGAAACCTTCATTAAGAATATAAAAAAACGATATGGATTACCAAATATGGAAATCATTTTTGAAATAAAAACATAAAAGATTTAACGTCGATGACATTCGATAAATAATATATGTAAATTACATATTTGCCATTCTATATCGTTTTGGATTTTGGAATTTGTCAAAGTGTGATGTTTGCAGTGTGTGTGTGTGTGAATATGAAAATACTGGATTTGTTCCAGTAATGACACAAGCACCAGCTCCTCAGCGTGCAACAGTGTATACTCAAAGTGGAAAGTTACCTTAGTGACATCTAACACACGCCTATAATCTGCGTACAATTAAATTACTCGCATTGGTAACTATCTCTCCTGCCTTTCTTTCTTTCTTTATCCTTCTCTTTCGTTCCTTCTTCTTTTGCTATCTTTGTTTTCTTTCTCTCTCTCTCTCTCTCTCTCTCTCTCTCTCTCTCTCTCTCTCTCTCTCTTTCTCTCTCTCTCTCTCTCTCTCTTTCGCTAACATCACACTGAATTTATGGATAGAAAGATCGATTTTAAATTTAAAAATAAAAAAAAAACGAGAATAAGGTGAATTGTTTAAAAATTAACTCGAAATTTTTTATTCGTCAATTAATATTATTGTTCTGTTCATTGCACGTAGGCATGCTGATTTTGGTTTTCGATGTCTGAAAAAAAAAGAGAAAAATAGATAATTGACTGATAAAAAAAAGTGAGAAAATATTCTTTTATAAAAAAATCTTTCTATCTTTAACATGCTGCAAGTGTGCCGTGCTGTGATACTGGCTGATACTCGATGGACACTCAAGAGATGTCTAAAATTCAAGAATTTCTTCGTTACAGGTACATGCTATGAGGATATAAACGCGTCTTATATGACATAGCTAATGAAAACATCGTATGCTCTTGAAAAGCGAGCGACGATTATTCGAGCTCGCACAAACGAAGAAAACGAAAAACTAACGAACAAACAAACAAACAAACAAAAAATATATTAAAAAAAAAAAAAGCAAAAAAAAAATTAAAAAAGAAAAAAAATAAAAAAAAAAGAACTTAAAAAAATACAAAAAATCTTATATTGCTTTCTCTATGAACCATATAAAAAGAACAAAAGAAAAGAAAAGAAAGAAAGAAAGAAAGTAAGAAAGAAAAAATAATAATATGTCAAGGACTTGTGATTAAAAAATCCGCTTTGACTGTTTAGATGCGTTCAGTGATTAGAGTTTTCTCGTCTAATCTATCGAGATTATCTGATCCTGTTTTTAGTCATCAAGGTAAACAGGTGTATTAATATTATTTTTGTATCAAATTTTGTTAGAGACTGAATGTTCTGTGGGTTTTATTATTATTATTATTATTATTATTATTATTATTATTATTATTATTATTATTATTATTATTATTATTATTATTATTATTTTATTTTTTCTTTTTTCTTTTTTCTTTTTTAATTTATCGAAGAGTTTGACGAATCACCTACGATAGAAGATTAAAGTAAATTGAAGGATCTAATTTAGATAAATGCGTGAAGTATTATATTTAACGTTAGCGTAACCGCATTACGTAAAGGATATTCATATTTTGTAATGTAATATGCATATATATGCATATAAATGTATAATATACAATACATGTGTATGTGTATGTGTATGTGTGTGCGAACGCATACCTCAATATAATTATTCTTTTCTAATTTTTTTTTTTTTTATTATTACGATTATTCAGAATATATAAATATATATATATATATTTATATATTCCGAATAAAAAATAATATCTTACGTAATAATATTTTTATTCGTAATATTCAATACTAATAATTTTCATTTGATTTTCTCATAAATAAAAAAGAAAAATTCTAAATCGGTGATTCGGTTGATCTCTAATCGTATTTATTTGCAAATCAAGATGTGGTTATGGATTAGAAATTTCAACGTTGTTTGCACGATTTCATAGTTTCAAATTAATCATTAACGAAATATCACAATTCAAAAGACATATACAGTGTGTAAATCAGCATTTAAAGGACCTTCTCTCCTCTTACTGTTACTATTAATCTCTCTCTCTCTCTCTCTCTCTCTCTCTCTCTCTCTCTCTCTCTCTCTCTCTCTTTCTCTCTCTCTCTCCCTCTCCCCCCCTCTCTCTCTAATTATCACAATTATGCATTAGATTTCACTCATCACGCTTGTTATTAGAATATCTTTATTTAGCAGCAATGAAGATCAACAAGCTACTTCTGTTACGATCGATTTATCAATCGACTTATTATTTAAGTAATTAATTATTGAATTGATATCTTTTTTAGCATATGTACATATATATGTATTTATATATATATATAGAAATAGAATAGTCGTCCGGTTCACATAAATACATATATATAGAAATAGAATAGTCGTCCGGTTCACTTGATCTATATAATAATTGATAATATTAATTCTTTAATTAATACAAATTTTTATTTTAATTATGGCAATTGATGTGATTAAAATAACAAATTATAAAAAATTAATTAAGCATCGATATGAAATTCTAAAGCTTTATATCCAGATATATGAGGATGGAGACACAAAAAACTTTCGAAATGTCCGATTTATATATAGTTATTTTTTTTCACTTTTTCTTAAAAAGTTTTGGAATTTCGTTGGAAAAAAAAGAATAATAATAATAATAATAATGAAAAAAAAAGAAATCATCAAAGGATTTCATAGCTTCTAGTCATTTCTGATGTAAACGAAAAATGCTTTGAATGAAAAGCACGATCCATTGTCTCCGTACTGCTTTTTATCCACGAATGACCTTTGTTACGTCATCAACGTCATGCTTTCAGCGTAGAAAAAAATTCAAAATGTTTATAAACACGAACAATGACGCATAGAAATTGTTTAATGTTCTAGTATCCATTCATTTTCATGATACTACACTTTCTACATTCACATTCTGTATTTCCTGTCGCCTACATTGCATTTCTCTCTCTCTCTCTCTCTCTCTCTCTCTCTCTCTCTTTCTCTTTCTCTCTCTCTCTTCTCTCTCTCTCTCTCTCTCTCTCTCTCTCTCTCTATCTATCTATCTATCTATCTATCTATCTATCTATCTATCTAACGATAACCTCATAATTTTGAGAATCAGCAATACTATCGATAATATCGATATTTTGCGAGCTATCGATTTCAATTTTCGATTTCATTAAAAATTATTCAAAACATTTTCTTGCCAAAGCACGATTAAGATAGAAAAAAAAGACAAAAATAACAATAGCATCATCAAGTTGTTTGTTTTATCTAATCCCGGATGCTCTAAATTAGATGAATGTTAAATATGGCGGATGCATATGTAACTGTTTACTGATTTAACAATGGAACTTTGCGTAATATCAATCGAACGTAATAAAAAATTGCAAAGATTCTAATTTTATACCTAAGTGAAATTGTTTCGGTATGATTCTACGCAAGGATGTTAAAAAATTATTTAAAATTGAATGATAAAATTGCATATCATTCAATCAGAACATATAATGTACCTTATATATATACATTAAACAATTTATATACATATATATATATATATATATATATATATATATATATATATGTACAAAATATGTTCTTATTCCGTAGAATAAATTAAATGATAAAAAATCTAATATAATGAAAATCGGCAGCTCTTTTAGAACGGCGAAACGAGCGATTTCTCAACCAACTGTGGGAAAAATCTTTCCTTTGGAACGAAGTACGAGTTTAGGACCACCAAGTACTCCTCCAAACGTACCGCATTCGGCGCCACCAATCAAAAATACCGCCACAGAAAAGCTCTGACGACTTACACGCTGCCGCTCTTTTTTCGACTCCTCGCATTGATTTACGTGTGTTCGCAATGTCCTTCATCGATTCCTATTTTAACTTACGTAACACGATTAACTTGATATCAACGCGATATCGATAGGAAAAAAAGGGAAAAAAAAAGGGAAAAAGTAAGAGAAAAAAACCAGAAGCTGCAAAAATTCCCATTTTTTTACTTTGGACTATACGTCATCATTGTAAACAACTACATTAATCATATCGAAAATTGTATGTTATATCATTATGAGTAATACTCTACGTTAATCATATCAGATTTTTATAAAATTTAATTGATTTAAAAAATTTTCATATCATTGACACAAGTAATTACTTATCGTTGATCTTATCAATGCGGTTAAATCGTTATAGATTTTTATTTCTGGTCGCATAATCACGATAATGTATTAATTAAGATATGTAAAAATATTTGTCGATTATTATCGATTCAATGATTTAACAAAAATATGCATAATGCATGAAACATGTGAATGACTTTTTCAAAATTCAATATTTTTTTTTACATCCTCTTGAATGATCATCGTGAGATATAATGACTTTGCAGTAGATTATATATGAATTACGCTACAGTACGAAAGAGAAAGAAATGTATTCGTTCGAACTGTTATCTGATCTCAACTAATTGTTAATATTTTAAAGAAAACTAATTATAACGTTGAACGTAAATTAGTGTACAAATGTTTCTCATGTATTTGTCGTTATCAATATTTTTATTATTATTGTACCTCGTAATAATTGTCACCATTATCAACCATTATCATTATTATTATTATTTTTTTATTATCATTGTTAAAAACAATAATTTTGAAGAAATCTGCGTTTTTTACTCGATCAGAATTGATTATTCATATGTGAATATACGAAGAAAATAAGAAAGAAAAAATAGGATTAAATAATTATTTGTTACTCGAAGAATGAGACATAGATCTATTTCTAAACTATTAGAAACTTTTGCGCGAAAGTATTATGTATATATATTAGTTATTACAAATGTTATCTATGGGATAGGTTTTAGAGAAATAGTTATTATTTTTCTTTCCTTTTCTTTTTCTTTTTTTTTCTTTTGCTCGATAAAACTTTGCACACACGACTCTCTTCTAAATAGATGAGTGTAAAAGATTATGAAATAAATAATAGTGTGTATATATAAATACATACATACATACATACATACATACATACATATATATATACATATATATATATATATTATATATACATAATATATATATATATATATTATATATACATAATATATATATATATGTATATATATATAAAATCACAGTGCAAAGCAAAAGGAAAGTGTGAGAATCGATGTAGAAAATTTGTATCGTCGATTTACTACGTTTCTTTGATTAATAAAAAGACTGTAAGAGGAAGGAACATTCACTTATAAAAAAAAAACCATATGATAATTTAAAAAATATACATACATACATACATATATATGTATATATATATATATATATATATATGTATGTATGTATATGTATATGTATATATATTTATTCGGTTGTCGAATTTATGAAAAGATGACACTAACGGCAAATATTCCTGGCATGGTGATTCGTTCCAAAATAAAATTAAGAAAAATCTACTATAGAAACGAGATATGAAATAGGTTTTACGCCATTGTTGTGTCCATATCGACTGATAATAAGTAGTATCGTGTGTATAAATTAAACATTTTGATTTATTACACGTATAGAGTAATCATAACTTCACATGCTCTAGTCTTTTAGAAAAATTATCAAACATTACGTATAATTATTCCTTCATATATTTGATTCGTTCTAATGTGATGTATAAAAGAAAAAAAAAGGAAAAAAAAAGAAAAAGAAAAAAACAACAACAACAACAACAATAACATAATTAACTACTATATTGACTGTTTATATTGTTATATGGCATGTAAGAAAAATATTATAATATACATATATACATATATATATACCTATATACATTTATACATACATATATATACATGTATATATATATATACATATATATACATGTATATATATGTATGTGTATATATGTATGTACGTATATATGTACTTATAAAGTCATCATCAAATTGCATCATCGGAAATCCAGAAGATAGAGACGAAAAAATGTTGGATCATTAAAAGAGAGAGAGAGAGAGATGGTAGAATTGCCTATAATAGCGAATTTAAAAAGGTATTTAAATTATTTTTAATAATGTTCGATACATTATAGCGGTGATGTACGATTTAGAAAGAAAAAAAAAAAGAACGTAAAAAAAGAATACAAAAGAGAAATAATAATAATAATAATAATTCTTTGGAAGATTTGATCTTGAGATAAGATAAAAATCAGTACTATAGTCTCTCGGTAAGATCCGTTTGAGTCATATTTTTTACTTTTACACTGGTCGCAAATTTTCAATTACGATATTTTCTGTATTTTCCTCTGAAGAAAAAAAAGAGAAAGAAAAAGAAAAAAAGGAAATTGTTGTTAAAGATGAAATAACAATTATGAAATATTCATGTACAGTGACGTAAACGCTGCACTGGCGTTTGAAAAAAACATAAATATGTATATGATACTAGAATTATAAATATGACTGCAAAAAATATTTTAATTATATACCAAACCATTGATAAACTATTAAACGTAATAAAAATTCTATTTTTGTTAATGTGACTCTCAAACGACGTGTCATAATAATAATTAATCAAAACTAATTCATTCTTTTATAGTAAACATTTTTGCTATTAAACGTGAATAGTTATTTTATATATATACATACATATGTATATATATATATATATATATATATATATATATATATATATATTGTTGAATCATCATATAATTTTACTTGAATAGTTTAAACGAGGAAAGAAATTTTCTGCATCCTGTTATAATGATCAATCAATACATGACTGGAGGAAAAAAATACCCAAAAAAGAAAAAAGATAAAAAAGAAAAAAAAAAGATACTATAACACATTTTCGTCATTGTGTCAAAATATTACGATGAAGCGAAAAGTTATTTTCGTTATAAAAATTCAAATTTCAAATTTAATATTTAAAAGGGCATGTATTATTCTTTTTACTATATGTAATATATGCGTATATAATATATATGTATTAGATTACAATTATAGTTACTACATGCAGGAAAATCATGTTTTAGAAACTATTAAGTATATACATATATATATAAATAAATAAATAAATATATGTATATATATATACACACACACGTACACACACATATACATACGTATTGTAATATATTTTTATACACTTGTCATATGTATATTGACAGAACCGTTGTAACCCCACTGGCTCGATTAATTGTCCATGCTGTGGAAAGTTGCTATTATAAATAGGAAAGATAAAATTTCTCTTGTGTGTAGTTCTTTCTTTTCTTCTTTATTTATTTATTTCTTTTTTATTTACACCTTATATTTATCTTTCATTTTATATCAATGAAAACCATTATGTAAAAGTGTTGCAAGCTAATCGAATGATGTAATTATTATATTCGAAACCGCCTAAACGTCCAATAAATAATAATTACAAGAAACGTGATGCTATTTTTGATAAACCTTAATTTGAATTTAATTGTAATGCTCGATAAAATTTAACGCGGTAAATTGAAAAATTTCTTACAATACACATGTGAACGAATAAATGATAATTTAATGAAAAATAATGCAACGTTGATAAGATACGATAGATTTATATTTTATTTTTGTATTACCTTGTTCATCGTATGAAGCATCTATTATCTCTCGTTCGAAATATATTAATTATGATAATAATAATTACAAGACAAGAGACAAAGTTATTTTTAATTTGACTATTATTGTAACGGTCGATGCAATTTTACGCGGTAAATTCAAAAGTTCTTACAATATATATTAACGAATAAATGATAATTAATTAATTGAGAAACAATATAACGTTTATTAAAAAAATATACGTTGACTATTTCTGATAAATTTTATTGAAATATCATTGTAACGATCGATAAAACTTTATGCGATAGTTAATTCAAAAAAAAATTCTTATAATATTCATTAACGAGTAAATGATAATTTAATTAATAAAAACGAAAAAAAGGGAAAAAAAAGCAAAAACAAATATAAACATTGAGCTAAAAAATACGATATTTATATAACTTATACTTTCTTTTTCTATAATTTTGTTCATCATAGGAAACATCATTTCTTCGTTCGAAGATATCCAATAAGAATAAATGGCAACTGCGCAGACGTTTAGAGTTCCCTCGGATCTGGCACATCGCAGAACAGAGCGCCGGACGGGCGGTGTTCTGCGAAGCGTGTTGAGTCTCGACGGGAGTACATAACTACCCGTCAAATATATTCGAATAATTAAGGGAAAAAAGGGGAAAGAAAGATCGGTGAGAAAAATGTGGTTGAGTAGTGATCCTTAACGAATTGCCGTAACGTATTACGCGATCCCTTAATATGGAAGAATGGTTGGAAATAAAGTTCTGTCATTGATACTCTTCCTAGCAGGTAAGAAGATCACGAGATTAGATAAGGCGTTTAACACACTGTACCTGCCGATCAATGTGATGATATCCATGTCTCTTTCTACATGAACAAAAGACATGACAGAGAGAGAGAGAGAGAAAGAGAAAGAGAGAGAGAGAGAAAGAGAAAGAGAGAGAGAGAGAGAGAGATAGAGATAGATATAGATTCATGCACTCATATAACGCATCTCACTCGTATGTATACGATCGACCTGAGTGCTCGATCGTTATAGTTTCAGGGTCGCATTATGCAAATCCGGACGAGTGCATGTCTCTTTATTCTGCGCCTCTAAAATATACATTTAAATTGAAATATATATCATATGATCCCATAAGGACACGAAAAATTATTTGATAACTTACGATTTTGACGTTTCACTCACCATTGTTTTTAATATTTTGATAGGGTATTATAATTAGTCGAAGATTTAATTTTATCGAAATCGAAGTGCGATCTAATCGATTAAAATGTGTCGAATTCTTCTTTACATTTTTGTCTTTACGATCTTTTTTTTTTCCTTACATAGATGATTTTTTTTTTTAAATGATTTTTTAACGACGACGTCACGTTTTACAATAACACAAGATATGAATTTTTTTACATAGGTATTTTTGGGAATTTTAATTTTTTTTTATGTTGGTTTAATAAACATATTAATGAAATAGTGAAAAAATATATAATACATAAAATCATTATAAAAACTGTAATATAAAATAACCTGTCTTTATCCTTATTATTATTTTTATATTTGTGAACTGCTATATATTTTTTTATAATTTGCTTCATTATTGTTTCAAAACAAGAATGCAATATCTGGATAAGTTAATGTAAAAAATATAGACAACTATTCAATATTTAAAAGAGTTAACGAATTTAATATTTTTAGGATGGCAGGAAGTAGCAACTTTAGTACAAGTACGCCATGTGGCCATAGATGTAGGTCAAGATCTTACATTAGCCTGTGCAGAAGAAGATGCTCTTCCACATACAGATTCTCGCGAAGTAATGTGGATAAGAGAAGGACGTGAAGATGGACAGATTAAGCGGTTAAAAGTTGAGTCTAATGGCGTGCTAGAACTTGTAAATGTTAGCGCAGATGATGCAGGAAATTACTCTTGTACCTTGGACGACGATGTGGATGCTGTGAAATCCAGAATAAATGTAGAAGTTAGAAGTAAGTTTCAACTTTGTAACAATTAAAAATTAATTCTAATATATATAATTTAAATAAAATAAAATGAATTATACTTTAGCACCTCCACCAGCTTTACGTAATGTTTGGGTAAAGCCATCTACAATATTGGCTAATATTCTTTGGGAAGTCGGTGGTACAGGTGGATATCCTATCATAGACTTTACTGCCGAATATCGTCTAAAACCAAATGAGGGTGAGAAACCAGAACAATGGAAGCCCATCATACCAACGCACATTCCTCCCAATTCTGTAAATTTCTACTTTTTTTTTTTTTATAATAGCTTAAACCTTCAAAATTTAATTGAATTTATTTTAATGTCATTGTTTTCCAACAATTTAGAGACAAATTGACGTGTATCACTTGGTGCCAAACACGACTTACTCCTTTCGAGTGTGGGCTACCAATCAGTTGGGTAAAGGAGATATAGTGGAAGTTGAAAATCATACCCATCATAGTGTGGAGGAATTGGGTAAGCACTGTATTATTATTAAATAGTATTGAAAGATGAGATTTTTAAAACAAATAGTATTGTATATATGTGTACATATATTATATTTAGTATCGTATCTTCCATATCAATATAAATTATTGTTTTAGAACTTGCAAGACACTTATTAGCGGGTGTAGAAGATTTTGACACCCGTGTTTGGGTTGCAGCAGTAGGCATTGTTATGGGAACACTTTTGATTCTTGGTATAGGTACATGTTACCTCCTCTATCGTGAGTGCAAGGCACCCTGTAAGCATCTCCTAATAACTGTGTATAAAGCTTTTGCTTCTACTCTATCTCTTCTATGCTGCTTTTTCTGCTATCAAACTAAAATCTTTAAACTTCATATAAATGTAATTCATTCTATTAACAACATATTAAATATACGTCAATGTTTTAATTTGTGGACTTTTTTTTAACTTGTCACTAACACAAAACAATTTCGTGACAGAAATAACAGCAGCACAAGTCATTCAACTTATCTATGGCCCTAATCTCTAGCTTTCTTTAAATCAGCTACTCATTTCCCAATTTCAACTTAACTCTATTCTAATAATTCTATCAATTACTATTCACTAATCTTTCCTTACTGCAAGCGCTCTGCAAATTTTTATTATTAATTATTAATTAAATTTTCTAATATCAATTTTTCATTGTAACACTTTTTTAACTTTTGCACACATTTTATAATCTATGGTATTAAGGTAACTCTATCAAATCTTTCTCTTCAGACAGTTTGCCTTTCTAATAGAGCACCTCTATAGTATTTCTAGGAATGATCCTACGATCCTTTGAATTGTTTCCTTTAATCGCCAACCTTTATTAATTAATTACCAATAAACTGTATATTTAAATAAATTATTAATATCATGTAAAAGGTATTAATAAATGTATTAACATTTATAAGTGTAAATATGTTTAATAAGTGTTGGTGGTTGATATAAGATTATGGTTATGTAGAAATGATAGGTGTAATGAATAGTAAATACCATAATAGAGGTAGAGCATTGTGGCCTAGATAAATACCTTGTATTAGAACATATCTTTGGTAATGAAAAGGTAGAATAAAAGTAGCACATTTATTTGTCAGGTCAACAGTAAATAATATAAATTAGTGTATGTTTATTAGCAACACAATGTATATGATTAGAAGCACAATCATACCTGACAAATAATACAGAAAGGGACAGGGTAGAAGCTAATATAATCAATGGCCTAGGCCAATGAAAATTAATCTCCGTTCCGAAATTGCAGCGCAGCTGGAGGAGCAGGAGGTGATTGAACTTGTCCCAAATATTATTTTGAATCCCGGATTTTTTGACGAAAGGACAGAACATATTCCTCAAGATGAAAATTTTAACAATCAAACAACAACACGCCTAAATAATAACAACGTAGTGCAGCCCAGACGACTCTAGCAATCATTAATTTAAATTTCTGCATCGTGGATTTTTTTAACGAATGGTAAGAGCATGATTTAAATATCATAAGTGTATAGGTTGTATTTGAAATACCCTGAGGCGATTATAAAAGTGCAACAAATGCAGGGCCACTATAGAAAGAATTATAATAATTATAAAAAAAAAAAAAATTGGAATCATGTTTGTATCCACATAGATGTGTAAGTATGTATCAATGCTTGGTGCATCCTGATAAACTAAATTTTTTAGACACAATACAATGTAAAGTGTTCAAAGCAAAAGTAAGACTCTGCTAGACTTTGTGAAATGGCAAAGTAGATTTTTGAGAACATTTTGTCATTAAACTCGCTAATTTCTTGTTGCTCGTTAACGGAGCCAAAGTGAGAAACTCCTCTGAGCCAAAAATTATTTAGTAAGACTGTAATTCTAAGGATAATTCTATAGAACATAATAATTGGAAAAACTAAAGTTGTATAAACAAGATTTATTATGATTTTATTATGATTTATTATGCATAAACTTGTTTTTTGCATAAATTAGAGGTATCAATTATACTTATAATATAATTATCTTTGAGGACTCATGAAAAAAATATGTATAATAATATTCTTTCAAACTGTGCACTTCTTATCATTTGAAATATTAATTAACTTATTACCGATTTTAAACATTTTTTTTATGTGCTGGAAAAGTGATTGTAACAGTTGATTTGTTTTACATTTTTATAAGATATAATATTTTTCGTTGTTGTTATATATGAAACTGATTCTAAAAAATACTTTAATAAGCGATAGTTTTTAAGCAACGTAATGTGCATTACATATTTTTTTCTTGACATGCAAAGAGAATGCTATTTATTTATAATTGTAATAGGAAAGGTTAGTAACATTATTATACAAGGTTTGATGCTTCAGTATTTTTAATAGTTATTTAAATAATTATGTTCCATTATAGATTACAATCTTTAATATGCTTTGATATAATCTTGATAACCATAGCAGTATCAATTAACAACATGTAAGTGCAATTCAGATCTTAATGATCTTAAATAACTTTGCTTTATATCACTGTCATTCCTGACTGCTTATATAAAAAAAAGCATCCATGTTTTATTAAAATAATTATGACCAAGTGTTCAAAATATAATGAAGCTTATATCACCATCAACAATTATAAGTTCGAAAATCAAATAACATAACATAAAAAAAAATGTATGAAAAAAAAGAACTCGATTTTGATAAGTATAAGGCAAAAGATAAACTACTTTTGAAGAAACGCAAAGATCACAGTATCTGTTATACAGGAAATCGTAATTGTCTCTTTATGTATCAAATGCTAACAGATTTTTACCAATTATAACATTGATACTTTAAGCAGATTTAGGATTAAAATAGAATACTTCAAATATTTTGGATAACACCTTTAATGAAAGATAAGTGAAGTTTGACAAATATCTGATGCAATATAAAAAACGTATAGATCTACTGAAATTACTTGGATCTTCTCTTTCCCTTTCTGTAAAATTTTGTTATTTTTTCATGATAGGATAGGCAAATTTTTATACAATCAACTCATAGATCTGACTTTTCACACAAAAATTTTTATATTCGATAATAATATAAAAATATTATTTGCAATATTCTCGACTAGCTGATATTAGATCGCACTTGGTCAATTAATGTTAAAACATTCCATACATCTAATGTCTCTATTATTTTACGATATTCTTGAAATTTGTTATTTTATTTAAGTATAAAATATACTTATAAGTATATAAAGTATATTTTAAAATTCTTAAAAAGTATGATCTGTTGATAATTTTGAGTATTATTACAATTTATTTTGTTTAAATATACACTGCAGGTGTGTCAAGATTTATTCTACTAAGAATTTGATATTATTTATGTTAATTTTGCTATGATATTATAATAGAGCAGAAAGAAATTTTTATTTTTACTTGAGCTTATTGTATAAACTTTAAACTTGCTCTTATCACCAAGTAAGGCAATTTGGTGCATAAAGGTTGTATAAAACTTGGTTGTGCGTTGTTACATTGAGGCTTCACTGATCTGTTTCTCCCTTTAATGTAATCTGAAATGTATCAAATATATCACAATAGGGATAAACAGATCTAATATAGCTTCGTACTATGCACTCTGTGTTGTGAATGGTATATATATATATATATACACATAAATATATATATACACATATATACACACTAATTAACAAATATAAGAATATGATAATACCAGAATAATAACATAAATATATATTTATATAGCCAAGGCATGATAATATTTTAGCTATAAGCAAAGACAATTTTTTATATGTAAATTATAATTATGCTAAAATGCAATGATAATATTTATCTACTTATTCACGTAGACACAATTTTATGGTGCAATTTTGAGTTTCAACAGCAGTTCAACGTATTTGCTGATTGGCATAAATCGTATAGTACATAATGTTCCTTCTTGATTTTTTTTAAGGTTTATATTACTCCCTGCTTAAATGAGACAGGGATATATTATTTGAAATATTCTAAAATAATGGACGTGCTTCATATGTCCATTGCTTACCATGCAAAAAAATCTCTTGTCAAACAAAATTTTTTTTTCTGGTTAGTATAAATTAACAATGAGATTTAGATATATTGCATTCAATATTTTTTATTCAATTCAATAATAAAAAAAGACATTTATTGTATATTATGATTTTGTTAATGAAATTGAGAAATATTTGTTAAATGTATAGTTAAAGAAATATTATCTTTTAATTAAGTTTTAGTTGCCTAAAAATCATTAACTTGGTTTTACTTTTGACGATTATTTACAAACAATGTTCTTGTTCATGTAAAAAGTATAGTTCTGTGTTATGGCACTTCAGGTTTTAAATACTTATATAATAAGTTAATCATAAAATTAGTCATTTTCATTAAAGTATATCATATTAGAGACAGTATACATTAAATGTCTAATAATATTTACCAAAGCTATCTGAGAAAAACAGTCAAGGATTGTTCGATTAATCAGTAACACTACTAATATACCAAAGCCTGAAAAAAAAGATACAAATATCACTCGCAATGTTAAATAATAAGGATATTCTTGTAATTATTAATTTTTTAACAGGGTTGTATTAATACAATTTGGAATTGCACAAAATGATTAATTGAGTTGCTAGATTTCATGCGTAATCATTAGAAATGATTAATCATTTAACTAAGCTAATATTCTCTTGACTTATTTGTTAATATTGTATTTCTTTATTTAGCTTGCAAAATAGTTAAAAGTAGAATATAAAAATAGTATGAAATTTTGGCACTTTCCGAATTAGTTATATGGTATTTTTATATTCATGAGACTATAATACAATCCTGTGAAAAAGTAAGATAAGGCACAGTACCATATAATAGAATAATGGTGGTTAATGGCACCATAAATCGTCCCTAACATACATATTGCCTATGACATACCAAGAGAATAAAAGCTACTGTGATTTTTACAAAATATCTTTACATCCATATGACATTATATCTTTATGTAAAGGCCTATCGTCAAAACGTGCTATTAACAAAGTATGATGCCTTTCATGCATTATAGAGTACTATTTTGTCGAGTACTAAAAAAAAATAAAAAGAAGAAAAAATACGCTATCAATAACACGTTTTTCACATGAATGAGTCGAGAATATTTTTCCAAATTTAATAACACGAAAGAACATCTCTAATGACTCATAATTTTGTAAAAATCACAAATGCTTTTCAAACTTATCATGTATTGATATATCAACATTAGTTTTACATGCTTCATTAAGTGGTGATGAAATAGATAAATATCATTAATAACATAATAGGCCAAAGCACGAAAAATAATATTAAATGAAATGATTTATTATTTTACTGATTTTAATTAAATGATAGTTAATTTTATAAACTTAAATTTTCTTTTTTCGTTTATAGCAAACCAATATATCGAAAAATCGGTATTTGGTATATAGAGCTTATTGTAATATAATGTTTCATTACTGATATTATCAACTGTTATAGTTATACGTTGTGTACCTATTTGTTTTCCAATATTTTTAAAATTTTACTATATTAATTAGTAAAAATATGAAATGTTCCATTTAGAATATTGAGTTATAGTAATACTGCTTTTTAGATAGATGGTCTATAACAATTCATTCAATGTATGATAATTAATTAAAATATTAGGAAATCATTGGTCTCTTTTATAATATTATCTTGTTATAATCAATTTGATCTTAATAATTGAAGATGAGAAGAACAGATAAAAAAAATAATAATTACAACATTTGGATAATAAAACCTTTGGAAATAACTTTTTAATAATACTTGACCAATGATTATCTAATATATTTATTTAGTTTAACATTAAAATGATGTATATTGCACATTCCATCAAGTACAAAAATGTCTTCTATATTAGTTTTATTGATCAATATATGGAAGTCGAATATTTCTATCATAATTTGAGTATTGTTTAAGTATTTATACAAAGAAAATGGAGAAAGTAAAGGTTGTGCTTGAGTGTCTAATTCTATCATTAATTAGGATGTAGTACTTTCACTGCAGTAAGTCAGAGAACAAACATTAGGCACATATCAGAGAAACACAAGATCATTCTACTCACCACTTACATTTAGATTTTTACTGATTGCAATTATTAGTAATACTGTGTATTATATAATAATAATAATAAAAACAAAAAAAAACTAGATTAATTTATCCTGGAATAAAAACACAGAAATACAAATCCTGAAGTATAAGCTAAAGAAAGAATGACAAATAATATCAATGTGCATTTAGAAAAAGCTGGGCCTTGCAAACATATATTCTTTACGCGTAGCAGGTTTTCAAGTTTTATACATATTAAATGTAATACTGTTTTGGTAATAACAAATTAGAAGTATTTTAGCTGCGCAACATATTATACAATTGCAATCGGAATAAAAGCACACAAGACACAGGAGAAATGCCTATATCCTGTTTCCTTTAAAATATGATTTTGGAATTACAAGTTTATCTCATGTTTCTTGTATTAATATATTAAAATATACGGATAATGTATTTTAATTGGGATTACATCTACTACTTGTAGTTTCCATTTTACATTTTGTGATGATGACTGTCATTATAATCACTATAAAGTCATGCTACTTTATTTATAAAAATCATTATAAATATACAATAAATAATCATTCATAATTATTGTGTATTTCGATTGTATTTATTAATCATATTAGTTTTATTTATTATGTTAACATAAGTAATGTTTTTTCAATTGAGTTGCATAGATCTTGCATCTTTTCTGGAGATGTATACTCCGCTGCTAGAATTGCATTAGCAATTGCGATAGTTATATGTACCGACTTTGTTTTAATCCATACCTTTCCATTCATACCAATGGCAACTTCATATGCTTGGTTTTTTGCAAGAAAATTAAATAATGGACAGTCTGGATTAAGCAGTTTCCTTACGAGATTTAAGGTGCAAGTAAATAGCATACCGTCTGAACTTAAAACACCTAATTTTTTTTGTTTTCCTTGAGAATCAACGCATACAAGTTCTGGCTCCATATCTTTGATAGCTACAAGTAATTTTGCAAACACAATATCTCCAACTTGAATATCCGGACGATTTTTCTTTGTAGCACCTTCGAATGCCAAATAGGAAAGAGCTGCGCTCTCTTTTGCACCTATATCTACTTTAAATATATCTCCTACTTTTTGGATGACAATACCAATAACATTTTCTCCTCGAGTAGGTACATAACTGTAAGAAAAGCATACATCAAATAAGATGTAACTTTAAATAATTTTAAATATTAAAAATCTAACCGTTTTTGATAATTGTTTACATAATATACAGCAGGAGGTCGTTTTTTGAGAATACCAGCTTTACAAATAAAAACTGTGTCAGCTTCACGTCGAAGTCCAGGTCCCAATACAACTGTTTCTTTTATATCATTTTTAAAAATATCTTTTACAATATCCCCTGGCATAACAACATCATCAACATTAACCTCCATGTTTCAAATCGCAGAAAATTCTAATTCAAATATTAATCCAAAATAAGACGATACTCGTCGAGGAAATATATCTAAATAAAAAAAAAAAATAATTTGATATTAATTCAACTTATTAATCAACAATTCACAAACTTCTAATTCAAATTTTCTAGTACAAATGTAAACAAAATAGTAAAACTCTTAACCTATATTAATAAACATACACTAAGATAACCTCATTCTAGTCTAATACATTGTCGTAAAAACATCGTAATTTTTTTAATACATTACTCATATATCTAAAGTACATTACATTATATGCAATATTGTGTATTTTATAAAAATTAAACATTTTAATACATAGCACAACACGCGCTAAGATAGATAATATCATTAAAAATTTAATTTTTATTTTATAGTTGCAGTATATTATGCAAAATATAAAACTAATTAGTTAGATTGAATTTGAATACATATTGATAGAATCATTAAATATATATTAATTATGTTAATACGCAATATGTAATGCGTATTTCATAAATTCATAAAAAAAAAATAAGTTCAATCATTATGCAGCAAGAATGGTTAAAATAAAGAAGCTTATTTATTGGTAAATAAGGACAAAATTGCCTTTCTGACTTTTTGTCCATTTATATTCTCGAGAATTCCGTTCAGTAGATTGAAAATGCACCTTTGCATTTAAGTTTCTATTCACCATCAGAGGGAGATGAAACCGAATAAAAGTTCAAGTTTTAGAATTATTAAGCGACAACTGATTTGAAGTTACTTCAAAAGCAATAAATCTTATATACCGGCAGATTTTGCGAGTAATTAGTGATAATTTAATTACAATAGTTTAAACATTAGGAATATTATTTTAAAATATTACAAATATGTTGATCAAAGTGAAGGTAAGAACATAATATATTCACAGAATTTATAAAACTATTGTTAACCTATTATTTTATTATCTGAATTTTTATTTTTCAGACTCTCACAGGAAAAGAGGCAAGTATTTTAAAATCAACGTGACTATTAAAATATTCAATGGTATTATATCTGTATTTTTGAATAAAATAGTAACATAATAATATATTACTATGTTTATTGAGTTGGAAAGAATTAGACACTTTGTAAAGAATTTTGTAAATTAAAAGTTATTTATTCTATTAAAATGTATTTTATATATGATTGATTTTATGTACATTAGCAGTGGATAATCTTTATCAATTCTATAGATTGAAATAGACATAGAACCTACTGATAAAGTAGAAAGAATCAAAGAAAGAGTGGAAGAAAAAGAGGGAATACCGCCACAACAGCAGCGGTTAATATTTTCTGGCAAACAGATGTACGTATATTTATTAAATTATGTTTTTTTAAAGAAATTATAAAGTATAAAAATCGATTTAATACTCAAGATTTGAACAATTTTAATGATATTTATTATTAAACATTAATGTAGCATATACTTATACTTTAATGATATAATTATTATATTATAATGAAGATAGTAGTAATACTGTTTATAAGAAAATCTCAAATTTTTAGAATCTACATAATTCATATCTTTTAAGAATGCATCAGTTTAAATCAATATATACATATATGATTTCAGGAACGACGAAAAAACAGCACAGGATTATAAAGTACAAGGTGGATCAGTGCTGCATTTGGTACTTGCATTAAGAGGGGGTTTATAATTACTATACTTTGTTCTTCATATGACTTTGTGATTAATTAAAAAGCAAATGCACGAGGCTACTTGTAAGGAAAACAATACATCAACCTATTAAAAGTTGCACTTACTCTAATTAAAAAGTTCTTCGAGTAGAGCCTGCAACTTAAAAGTTATTCAAAGATTACATTCACAATATATGAATATTTAACAATATATCTTAGCTATAAATGAGTTTGTAATGTGACCATTAAAAATATTTCTTAGCTTCTAAATATACTGGGTTTTACTTAATTCAATGCAGTAACTATTTAAATCTATGACACATAGTGGAAAAACGACAGTGAATAAGTGACTGCAGACTTATAATATTTAATTTTCAATGTTTTCCTTTTCTTTCTCTATATTTTTTTTTTCTAAAATAGCTAGATTAAAAACTTTATTATAAGACATAACATAAAATGTATTAACTAGTTTTAATAATTTCTAATACTGATAGCACAAAGTTTGCTTAAGAAAAAGTATGAAATATACATAGATTTAAATTCTTATTTTTATGTTCAATGTTCTTATAGCATAGAATTAGAAATAAAATGAACACTGTTGTTCGTTAATATGTTATAAGATAAAATAAATCTGCTTCTTAATTTCTATGATATCTACTATTGTGAGTTGCTCGGCTCCATTTAGTTTTGAAGAAACGATGACAGATCCCACAATATGCTGCAACGTTCGATGAATTTTCATGTTTGGATGTGATATGTCGTAGAAGTGCGTGTTGCGTTGTACAAGTAACACCACATTTCTTGCATTGTAGAAGCCGAGATACAGAAGAAGTTTGTATATTTCGTGCTGGTTTCCTTGTTCCGGAAGATTCTATAAATTTATACTTAAATTTACCTTCCAAAATTATCATTAATTGAAAATCCTTTTTAAATCCCCCATTTTGTTTGATTACATGTAATATTAAATATTAATATGGTACTCCGAGAATAGATTACAATATAAATAAAAAGTTCTATAAAAACATAACACTAACAAATGTTACATCATTTTATTCAAATGTTATCAAAACGTTAGTGCTTTTTAGTTATATTTCATATATAATTGTGATGCAGATTATAAATTCTTCAGGTTATACTCTGAGATAATTAAAAGCGCGGGAAACCGATTGCGAATTAAACTGCAAACCGATCGTAAAATATATAATTCATTGAAAGAATGAAAAATTGGACAGGAAAGGTACATCACAAATCATTTTATTTACATTACAGCGATAACATCTTTAAGCATAGTCTTACATTGCCTTTGATTACGTTACAAACTCGCAGATATAAGATCTATAATAAAATACATACGTATTTAACGAGAACGAAAAATATTCGTTCTTTATAACGCGAACGTTCAACGTTATTGTATCTACAGAATAGCTCCGTCTATGATCATTGTGAATCTATGCACGGTTAATCGGTGCTTTTTCATTTTTTTTGTTTTTGTTTTTCGTTTCTTTTTTTCTCGTTTACATCATTATTAAACTTAGAAATAAATAAATACGCATTAGTTTTTTGCATTGCAATTGTTTATTTATATATATTACTACGTACTTCTTGTGCAAATCAGTTTTAAGCCGAACGTACTTATTACGATGAATGCTCCTTAGCCGGTTTAAAATCTAAATCATATTTTAGAAATTTCGAAAATTTCTTCTTTACCGACCATGCAGTGTCTTTCATATTTTGCTTTTCTGAACAAATTCTTAAGAAATAAAAACGATTTACATGTTATTTTGAAGAATTTTTATCACATATATACTCATTTACGTCTATGTTATACGATTTTTTCTTACAATTAAATCTTTTTTTAAATGTTTTCTTTTTCGTCATGTTATTACGATCAAACATGTTCCCTTGTTATATTATGTACTTTTGTCGAATAAAAATCATGTAAATCATCTTCAATGATTAGTTTACAAAATTTTTGTATTTCAGTATTTTAGTTTTTCATCTAACGAATTACCGACCGAGTAAATCATTAATTTTTTTTTAGGTCGATAAATTAGATTAACGGCTTAAGAGCAAACATTACATTTTCTCACCATTGCATTTTTATCTTTTTTTTTATTCTTTTTTCTTTTTTTTCTTTTTTTTCTTTTTTTACGTGCACACGAGTACGTTACTTAAGAATTTTTTCTGAATGATCACTTATATAATAATAAATACGAATATTCAATGTATAAGCAACACTTACTATGCAAATTTGCATAGGTGCGTACGCAGCGTTTATAGTAATTATCATAATCATTCTAAATATCGTTGCGATCAAAATCGACGGAATAATCAATAAATGTTATTTCAACAAAAATATTATTCATAAAAATTATAATAAAAAACAAACAAAACAAAAATGAAAAAATCCGTGATCAAAATTTGAATCAAATTAATCTTAGATTTGATTAGCGTTGTATTTTATCAAAGTGAGGAAGGTCTCATTTTTACTATACCATAACGCAACGTTCTTAAGAAAAAGAAAAAAAAAGAAAAAAAAAATAATAATAATACTGTTATAAATAAATTTACAAAAAATCGGATAAATTTACGCCAATCATAAGTTTCTCGTCCCATATTTGATTGGTTACAACGAGTTACGACAGTTTTCTTTTAACGTTACTCAAGCTACTTATAATTGAATACAATCACTTATATTGTGTGGGTATATATATATATATATATATATATATATATATATATGTATATATATATATATACACACGCAAGCACATATATATCATATATTATTAACGACTTATACGTATGCACAACGTTACGATCAAGCATGTGTCTCCATAAATGGAACGATATTTTTACATTTATTATTATAAATGGCTAATTTTGTGTAAATATTTTACAAGACTTTTGTCTCAGCTAGCGTTCTTCAACGTTCGCGTTTCTTTTTTCTTTGTCGGTAAATAATTTTCTTCGAACATATGTAACATCGCGTAATCCATACACATATCTTTCTCAATTTCGATCGAATTTATGAAATTATTGAAATTTTCATTATTTCTTTCTTAGCGTCGAACTCGTCGAGTTGAAAGAAATACTATAGCTCTCTGTGTCACATAATATTTGTTTTGGTTTTTCTCTTCTTCTTTTTTCTTTTTTCTTTTTTTTTTTTGCAAGAGGTTAATCATCATGGCATGCCGGTAACAAAATCAACAGGTCATTACTATAGATAATTTATAATCTTTACATTGTGTCGTTCAACTATGGTAAATATCTGAAAAGATAATGCATTAAACATGGAAACTAGATAGCCGCGTGTAAGGCACTGTCTATACGGTGATTTCGAAGCAGCTAAAACCATCGTCGATCACAAAGAAAACCTTTTTATATCCATTTCTCTTTTTTTTGTTGGTTTTTTTTTGTTGGTTATTTATTTTTAACTTCTTTCTTCATTTCTTTCGAGTTTCTTGGTATCTATGTATAATGTGTTCGTATGTGTACGTACGTAAAAAACTTGAACATAATTTTTACGAAAAGGTACGAAGTTGATCTTTCTTTCGATTTTTGTTCGTTCGACTTTTTCAATAAAGATCCGATCGATTTTTTTTCTTTTATTCTTCGTTCTTTTTCTTTCTTTCTTTCTTTTTTATTACGGGATGTCAACTTATGGTTTCCGATTCAAAAGAGATGATGTTTTATGAGGGATGATACAAAATCGATTTATGATTGCAAGTAATCGCTGGAAAGAGATATGGCTGATTATAAGAGCAAAGTTTTGTCTTTTCTGCACATTTTTTCTTTTTCTTTCAGTTTTATAAACTTTTTTTTCAAGTTTGTATCTCAAAATAGTAATACAAAATCGAAATGAGAATTTGCATATGATTTGTTATAAAGAGAAAAAAAGAAAGAGAAAGAGAAGGAGAAAGAAAAAGAGAGAGAGAGAGAGAGAGAGAGAGAGAGAGAGAGAGAGAGAGAGAGAGAGAGAGAGAGAGCATAAGGCTGATGACATGAAAAGGAACTCTAAAAAATATTTATATTAATATATAAATAAATAAACTAACGCAAAATCTAAACAGAGAGATCACAATATTAATTAGAATTATTCTCTAAACTCAGTCATCGGCGACTAGAAAATGAAAACGAGCATGTTACGCATTTGCATAATTATTATTATTATTATTATCATCTTTTTTCCTTTTTTCAATAGATATTAGCTTTCACGATTAAGATAAAGGACAAGTTGTAAATGATCATCGATTATCCTTAATATATCATATCTATTAATTTTCGATATTCAAATGTAACCATCTTTTCGTATATCTTATCTCCACTTTAGAACATGTATTCAAACGGATGTTTCAAAATCATCCTCTTCATCAATTTCAATAGAATATAATGAAAAGAAAAGAAGAAAAAAAATAAATAAATAAAAGAAAGAGAAAAATAAATCAGCAAAAGAATTATTACACATTATTATTCGTTAAAAGTTTGAATTTCGCGCCCTCGAAGTCGAATTTACTTATTGATCGATCAATAAATATTAAAAAAAAATTATCGAGGGATATTACGAGAATGATGGATGGTGAGAGGAAAGTAAATATACATAAAATATAAAGAAAAGAAACAATATTGCAGGACAAGGAAAAAAATTCCTTTTTCGACGCGTTGAAAAACGAATCAAATGTTGACTCGATTGTTTTATTGTGTTATAGATAGAGAAAAAGAGAGAGAGAGAAAGAGAGAGAGAGAGAGAGAGAGAGAGAGAGAGAGAGAGAGAGAGAGAGAGAGAGAGAGAGAGAGAGAGAGAGAGAGAGAGAGAGAGAGAGAAGGGGGGAGAGAGAGAATGAGAGAGAAGGAGAGGAGAGAATGAGAGAGGAGAGGAGAGAAAAAAATAGTTGTCGCGCCGATAAAAAAGAAACCAATAGACGATCGTTTAAATTAAGAGTCCAATTTTTTTCTCGGATTGCGTTGCCTCTGCATCGTTTTTTGCCATTGCATGTTATGTTTCAGACGCATATGACGTCGCAGGTCGGTTCTACGACTGAGAGTGGTGTGACATAGGATGCAGGTCGTCTGGTTGCGATGCACTTCAAGGTGCTGGGTCAGCGAAGCAAGGTGCTTGTAAACGCTTCCGCAGAGTCTGCAGGAAAAACGTCCTGGACCCTGCACCACCACTTGACCAGTTGTATCGCCAACATGCTTCCAATTGCGTCCCACCCCCCCTGCAACACATTAATAGCCACGTGACCCGCGTGATTCCTCATAATAAAAAG